GGGCAGCTTTCCAGCCACTCTCCCCCAAGAGTTGTGGATGTTGCATAAAGGAATAGTTTAATATTTTCAAGTATAATTGTCTATGGATTACTCTTCTTATCTTCCATATAGTTTCCCACATTAGTTATTAGGAGGTCTGAGGCAAGGAGGAGCTTCATTGCTAAACATACCACAAATTATCCTAACACTTATCCCTGACACCATAGTAACAGTGATATTAGGCCCTTTGCTTCCCAGCAGAAGGCTAAAAGTCACAGAGATCCAGTGAGCTACTGTCTGCACATTAATTGCTGCAAATTAATAGCACAGTTCATTTAGTTAGAGATAATAAACAGGGCTTCTTCAGTCTTTATTAGTCCTCAGGATTTGTTTGTGCCTAATGCTACTATTTTAATGCCCCTGTATCAGTCTAGTTACAACCTTTCAAACCAATATTGCAATACTTTTTTTTTAGACTGGGTTTGCAGCACAGCACCTACCTTAAAATATTGCAAAACTCTGTGGAAGTCAGGTCCCTGGAGACTGGCTTTCTTTATATTAGTGCTAGGGTAATGCAGTATTTTGGTTCATGTTCCTTTCTGTTAAATGAGTGGGATATTTTAGAAGTGGAACTGTTAGGAAATAACCCAAATCGTATGTATGGGATGTCTCTGTGTCTCTTGTCATTACTGTGCTTTGCCTCTTTTGATGAGTGCTGTGTAGCAGTTATTTAGAAAACTGAAGATTTTCTACCTTGTCTCATGGCATCGTCATTTTTGGTTAAGATTTGTAGCAAAACTTCTTAAAAGTGTAATTCAGCATTAAGAATCACAGGGTTATAGTGTTGCTGAGACACTCCAGTTCATATTCTGCTTAAACAGCCTTCTTGGAAGTACAAAGAAAAGATCAGCAAAAATACCCTTGCTGTGAATAGCCTGATTGCATTACCTCTTATCCAAGAACCATTCACAGCCCTTTAAACCTGCTTCAGGGCCTGCAGGAGCCCTTTCTGAGGCTGACAACTAAATTGAGAGTAAGAAAAGTGCTTTGTAATGTGCTGCTTGAGCTATCTGGTGGAAAAGTGCTCTGCATAACACCTTTTCAGCTTGATTAAGGGATGCTCATACCTGGTTTAGCTCAGACATTCAGCAGAACTGTCTTTCACAGCTGTTACTGTATCCTGGGATGTAGAGTATGGCCAGTGTGTACTCTGCATGCTAGAGTCTGCAGCTCATCCCCAGCCTACAGCGATTACTCTTCCTTTTTTTTTCTTTTTTTTTTTTGTCTTTTTCTCACAGGGGTGCAGCGCCAGATTGCCCACTGCATGTGGAAGGGAAGTGAAGCAATCAAAAACTCCTTCTGTGACCCAGCAACGCAGCCAAAAGGGCGACAAAAGAAATGCTATGAGAAGGACTGTCCACCTAGGTAACACATACTGGGAGGGCTCTGGTAGTGTTAACTAGCAGCCTTTTTCAAAGGAAGGTGTTGGTTTTAATACCAGATTAGTCTGTTATCTACGGCCTACCACAGTTGAGAGCTGCCAAGCATTTCAGAGCAAAGTGGCAGAAATCCAGTAATGGACAAATCAGGAGTGAGCTTCCCTAAAAGGTTTCTAGTGCAAGTTACTGAGCAGTCTGTGCTGGGAATGGCCAAGATAGCTCTCTCATCTGTATAGGTCCTTTTTTAGTTTAGGTGCAGATGTCCCTGAAAACCATATGAATTTGTACTTATTTTAAAAATCCTATTCCTATTTTAGCTTGAGTGATAATGTATTACTGTGTGTACCAGAAACTAACTTGCAGGCAGGTTTTTTTAAGCATTTTGATGCTGTTTTTCAGTTTTGTTTTGTTTTGGTTTGGTTTTTTTATATTCTTTTGTCCTTCTTGTGAGGGAGGATGAGTGGAAATGACCACTTCTATAACTCTAATTATTACACCTTCTTTATAACACTTATTATTTGGCATTTTTTATCATGTCCCTTATTATTTTTTTCTTTTCAGCAAAGTGCAGCTTTCTTCATTCTGTGAACACATGGGAATAGTTTTTTCCATTCCCATAACATTTTAATTCCTCTTCATCTCTTTTTTTTTTTCTGTTGTACCACTTCAGGGAGTAGGGTAAGGAAGACTAACCACAGCAAACATTCCAGGTGACAGAAGGACTGTGGGCTTGTAAACTAAGCACAGATTTGCTGGAAAGGATCAATATTGAGTTTAGTTTCATGCTTCAGGAACTGGAACACCTTGCTTTTGTCTTTCATTGTCTTTGGAAATTGTTTATCATGCTATTTGCAATGGTATACCAGTCTTTCCGTAGTAATTCCAGTTAAATCAGAATCAAATCAAAGTCATTGGCAACCCTGCCCACAGGAGGGGGGTTGAAACTAGATGATCTTTAAGGTCCTTTTCAACCCAGGCCATTCTATGATTCCTTTAAAGTGTATTGTGTTGCATTTGCCAGCGGTGACTTTTGTGAAGCTTAAATGTAAAAAATTCATAGGGCTGTTGGTTTTATTAGTTATTTCCAAGTATTTTTACAACAGTATATGATACGTCCTCTGGGAATTACATCTTTGCACTTGCAGCCTCTATAAATGACTGTTAAAAGCATAAACTACCAGCATTTTGTAATTCTGTGTAGATTGCTGTGAAATCGGTTGACAGTAGATCAAAGTTATTGACTAGTTGACTAGTTAAGAGCTGAGGATACCCATTTGTGTGGGGGTGGTTTTTATTTATAACACTTATAAACTGTGCTATTTTTTACAAAGTTCCAAATGAGCTCAATTTATCCCATTTCTTCTAAGGGACTACTCTAGTCAGAGCTGCTCTTGAAAGCAGGGGAACAGAATTTTTCCCTTCTTGGGCAGATGGTAGAATTATGTGACATGTGAAACAATCTCTTCTACAGGCCAGGCAGAAAAGCTCTCATATGCTACCAGCCTGACTGGTGCTTGTCAAGCTTAACATAACCTGGCAATGTGTGCTTGCAGCCCAGAAAGCCAACCGTGTCCTGGGCTGCATCAAAAGCAGCGTGACCAGCAGGTCAAGGGAGGTGATTCTCCCCCTCTACTCCACTCTCTTGAGACCCCACCTGGAGTAGTGCATCCAGCTCTGGGGCCCCCAGCATAAAAAGACATGGACCTGTAGGAGCAGGTCCAGAGGAGGGCCATGAAGATGATCAGAGGGCTGGAGCACCTCTCCTGTGAGGACAGGCTGAGAGTTGGGGTTGTTCAGCCTAGAGAAGAGAAGGCTCTGAGGAGACCTTATAGCAGCCTTCCAGTACCTGAAGGGGACTACAGGAGAGATGGGGAAACACTCTTTGTCAGGGAGTGTAGTGATAGGATGAGAGGTAAGAGGTTCAAGCTGAAAGAGGGTACATTTAGACTATATATTAGGAAGAAATGTTTTACTGTGAGGGTGGTGAGACACTGGAACAGGTTGCCCAGAGAAGTTGTGGATGCCCCATGCCTGGAGGTGTTCAAGGCCAGGCTGGATGAGGCTTTGAGCAACCTGGTCTAGTGGAGGATGTCCCTGCCCATGTCAGGGGAGTTGGAACTCAATGATCTTTAAGATCCCTTCCAACCCAAACCATTCTGCGTTTCTATGATTCTGCATGGCAGAGGAAAGGTCTCATTATCCTTCTGAGGACAGCAAAATACCAACAAAATGGAGTGCAGGAAACCCATACATATTTAGCTCTGGAGTCATGTTTTGTTTTTATTCTTCTCTTAATCACAGAAGAGTGACTATAGTCATCTGACCAAGGGTCTAAGTCCCTTTCCTGGCTCTGAGCCCACATGCCTAAGGAAGAGTAAGGACAAGGCAAGCATAAATTATATCTCTTTCTAGTACTCTTCCACCTTCCAACTATTTTTAATTCAAGGCATTTTCAGAGGCCTTTATGACTTGTCTAATCAGTAACCTCCAGTGGACCTCTCTTCCAAGGACTTGTCCAGGCTCTTTCTGCAACTGTGTAAAACTTCTATCATATAGAACTTCCTCTGCAAGAAGTTCACCAGCTTTAGTGCCTACTGTGTGAAGCACCACCTCATTTTAATTATTTTGAACTGGCTCTCACTAGCTTCTGTTGGTGACCCAAGTGTTGGAAGAGATGGCAGTGAAGAATGGATTCCTATCCACCCTTCCCAAGACCTTTGTTCTGTAGATTTGGTCTCTGTTCCAGGCTGTAGCATGGGATTTAATTGGTATTTAGTTTCCCTGGCATATGTGTCACCTCTGATCCAGACAGATGGTTACACATCTCCATCTGAAAACCAAGAAGGCACTTAAAGCCCACAGGATAGTGCAGTTTGGTGGTTTGTTGGTTCTAAGGAAAATCGGAATGTTAGAGGAGGGTGTGACTGTCCCATATGGCATGATGCAGCATTACTGACAGTTCATGGGAAGCTGCTGAAGAGCAAGTGTTCTGTAGAGAAGTGGCTAAATTCTGTGCTAGAGTGGAGGACAGTGTCATTAAACACAGCACTGATGGGGAATGGGGACCTTTGGCTAGTGCTGTACCCAAGGACTGAAACTTTTGGATGATCTCACACTTCACAACAGTGAACCAGTTTTTTTATAGGAACATCCTATCTACAAACAAGAGGGACGTTAACTTGCATAACCCTCCCTCCTGTGATCTGCTAAATCCCACTGATGGAAAACATGCTACCATGAAACTAGCTACTTGACCACTAAATCAGAATTAGATAATTTTCAAACAGTAGCTATGAGCAAATAAAAACATTACTAATACTTGTGACTCTCACAAACCAGATCTTATCTCATTAATCCATTTCAGGAAGTTAATGATAAACTGTTTAAATGACCGGCTTCTGAGAAGTCCAAGTCTTAACTTTCTTCTTTGTTAGCTGATTTGGTCTGCATTTATTTTTCCCACACTTTCTACTAAAAGAATCTGGAGCAAAACAAAATATTTAAAATGTCACAATACATGTATGCCACGTGTTGACTCAGAACAAAGTAATGATGGCTGAACAGCTGAGACTTAAAATTGCATTCAACTGTCCATATAAAATTTGAGTGATATTGCTTAGCAGGAGTGCAACAAGACTGTAGCATAAATGCATGCTTTTTTTCCATGTTATGCTGTGGAATGTGGTTTCCAGTTATATGTTTCCTTGGCAGGCAGGTATTTAGCTCCATAGATGTTAATGATAAAAATCAGTAGATATTACTTGAAGAAAAAGAGTGAGATTTTAACTACCTATAGTGTTGTGAATAAAGGTTTTGCTCTCCCCTTTAAAGAAAATAGCCTGGGGCCTTTTTCACCTGACTACACACTTGAACAGAATAATCATAAATGGATTATTTTACGAGTACTTGGGATCTCCTGCTTATTATCTGCTTTTACTGTGTTGTCCCTCTTCCAAACAGCTTAGTAAACTCCAACTGCATAATAAGAACAGGAAATGTTTCTATTATAGTACACGCAGTGAAACTCAGTGCCCTGTTATTTGTTGTGCCTGATGCTACACAAATGCATAGTGTAAGAAGACAGTTTTTCTTTAGGTGTGGCACAATACGGTGGGAGGGAGGGAACATTCAGCCCTGTAGGCGTTAGTACAGCGAATTCTGGTGCAAAATCCCATGCTACTACTTTTTCCACAGGCTCCAAACCTCATTCAGCACACATCATCTAGGTATAGATGAGGATTGTATAATGGACAAGACTCTTGGGCCTGCTTTAATTGTTACAGACCTTGGAAACTCAGCATACTAGGAAAAAGAGATAGGTCTCATTTAAGGCAGCTGAATGCCACCTGGAGCAATGAGATTTTCACCCTACTTCTGTACCAGGCTGGATTGCAGAAGAGCTGAGCATTCACGGCTGTAGCTGAAAACCAAGCTGAGGTTATACTTTCACCATACAGACTGCTGTATAATTCGACAGCCTCGAGAAAATCAGCACTTACACAATTAATTATGCAAATAATGTGTTTTGCTTGTTTGCTTGTTTGTTACCACAGTCTTTCCATGCCTGCCTGTGGAGATAAGACAGTGCTGTCACTTTGCAGGGACCAGCTGATGCGTTAATGTTGAAGAACCACTCAGTTGCTGTAATGCTAAATGCCATCAGAAACCGGGGGTCAACTCCTGTCAGGCTTCACTTTCTACCACATCATCCCAATCAGCATGGCTACCTACTAGTTTTCTGCCCCATATCCTTTTCTTTGTGGAGCATCTCTCTGTATGTGTGGTCTGCAGAAAGCTTTGTTTGTAAACTGTCCAAAGCTAAATCTGTCTGGCAGAGCCTTCCACTCTTTAGCTTGCAGCTGGGAAGTCCAACAGCTTGGTCATTTCAACTTAGAAATTGCATGTTTGGATCTCAGATTGCTATGTCCAGTCTGGATGTGTGCTCAGCAGTCACCTCCAGTTTTGGTTATACCTCTGCAGTGTGAGGAAACAGAAGCAGCTCCAAGATAAATAGTGTTTGGCAAAGCAGCCACTTGGATGCTGCTCTGTTCTGTGTGGTCCAGGACGTGCTTGGGGCATCCTGTACCAGAACAGACAAATGGATGGTAGATATTGTGTCATCCTTCCTTTGCCTTTTTTCCCTTTTGGCTGGGATGCTGCAGTTCAGAAGTCCTTAGTGGGCACCACAAAGAGACAAGAGTGCACGTGTTTCTGTGTTAAGTTTGTCATGCTTGAGTGTTTAAGCCATGTGCATGTGCCCTAGAATGGAAATATGGAAAATGCACAATTAAAAACTCCAGTTACTGATAAGAATAAACTTTCAGTCAGACAGAGTTTTTTGAAGTGTGTGAGTAAACAAAGTGTTGGGCAATTGACTGCTTCGCTCACCAGTACCATCTGTTACCTGCACTGAATGAGGAAGGACTCTATAGAAAAAGTTACATGACTAAACATCATTTAAGATTGACCATGAAGGTGCAATAGGATAAAATCTTAGTTCTGGGATTTCCTAACTTTGGGCCACCTTACTTTCTTCCATGGCTTTTAAAGCATGTTTTGCGTGCAATAATTAATCACGCACCGTTACTGCTGATTAAGATAGGTTCTGTAGTAAACTTTGACAATTTATTGCTAGGAGTTCAGTATTTAAAGCTGCAAATTGCTGAACCCTCACTCAGAGCCATTTGAAAACAGTGAGGGAGGGGATGTCAGCTTAGCATGTCTGTAGGGATGTATGGGATCTGGTTCCATTAAAATTAATAGGGCAATTCACATAATTCAAGTTGCATTTGTGCCCAAATGTCAACAATTTACAAAATACTAGAGATTGGAAAGAAGATGCAAGTGATGAAAAGAAATTGATTCAGGTTGCAATAATGTATTTTTCTCTTTTTTATTGCTGTGTTCTACAGAGGTGCACTTGCTTTTTCTCTTTAACCATTTGTTAGTTTTCCTTTGTTGTTTCCAGAAGCCTGGAATAGCAAGAAACAATTCAAAGAAGGGCAGGAGAAGGAGACAGTAGTGTCCAGAGGCCTTACACAGGGTTGTGGTGGCAATGGGCTGTATTCTACAGCATGTTGCAAAACAGTCTATGTGCTAAAGGTCTTACAAAGTAATTTAAAAGGAAATGTGGTATGTATACATAACTAACGAGAAGGAAGGTAGGTGTAGGTACCCTAGAGGAGACAAGATGGTTGCACAAATGAGCTATGTCCATATCTTGATTGCTTTGAGTCTTTTTTTTAATTATTAGGAATAGGTATCAGTGCCTTCCACATCAGTGACAGCTCATCTGCAATTGAAGAATAAATTAATTGGGAAACAGAGGAGGAACATTGAAACTACAGAGGAAAGGGGAGAGGGATTGTCAGCAAACTGAAGAAGCTAGGAATACAGTAAAATGGGAGTCAAAGCAAGGTGTAAAAACTGTAATAAAACAGGACATTGAACTTTGATGTATTTATGAGAATGGGATTATTTTGCTCTAAAATCAATGATCTTAAAAGGGAAAAAATATAAAAGAATTATGTTAGTTGTAAGCCAAAACCAAATTTTTCCACCTTTCTGTCTAGAAATATAAATATATCCTTATTTTGTGTGTAGTGTAAGGCTTTGTTGTGATGTGCTTTAAAACTCAGAAGCAAGTAATATTGTCTAGGAGCTTTTGTGGCTTAGAGTTCACAGCTGGGACAGATTTCTTATACAGCAGTTTGGAGCTACATTCTTCCCTGGGGCACTCTAAAATGAAAGGGAAAGGACTTTTTTTTTTTTTTTTTTTTAGATATATCACGAAGATGATCAGAGGACTGGAGGCTGAGAGTTGGGGTTGTTCAGCCTGGAGAAGACTCCAGGTGGACCTTATCGTGGCCTTCCAGTACTTAAAGTGAGCCTACAGGAGAGATGAGGAGGCACTCTTTATCGGGGAGTGTAGTGATAGGATGAGGGGTAACAGGTTTAAGCTGAAAGAGGGTAGATTTAGACTTGATATTAAGAATGAACATTTTACTGTGAGGGTGGTGAGACCCTGGCACAGGTTGCCCAGAGAAGCTGTGGATGCCCCATCCCTGGAGGTGTTCAAGGCCAGGCTGGATGAGGCTTTGAGCAACCTGCTCTAGTGGAAGTTGTCCTTGCCTATGTCAGGGGGGTTGGAACTCTGTGATCTTTAAGGTCCCTTCCAACCCAAACCATTCTATGATTCGATGAAAGGTAAATCTTTAGGCAGGTGGCACAATTCACAGTTGATGTCAATGCTTTTCAAGTAGAAACACAGAAATATTTGCCCTCCTGTCTTATCACAGAAGGCAGGTATGTAGATATTTGACCCACTCTGCATCAGCATGAGAAGAAATAGGTGGTTGAAGCTGGGGAAAGCCTAAGAAAACCCAAATATAAAGGGTTTGTCTCTTATTGGTAAGGTGTTTTGCATTAGCAATTACTGCACGAGAAGAAACGTTTACCTTTCGTTCAGTGGAACATTGCATCGCCCACTATGGAAGACCATCTTTAATCATGAGGAAGACACACAAGGGGCTCCCTTTTACTTCGTGAAGGAACAAAGTACAGGAAAGCCCAGCCTCGTACCGAGTATCTGTATGAGATGAGGGTGCACGCAGCATAGCTCTAAGTAGTCTGGTCTTTTGGGGTTGTGTGCCCTGATACTTCCCCTTCTGGGGGGAAAGAGAGCCATTTTGAGCACTTGCAGAGAGGTGAGGGGGGCTTTTCCAGGTCAGCGCTGTAATTACATACCCTCTGGTGATTCTTATTTGTTAACTCTTTCTGTACTGAGGCAACAATAGACAAGTAAACAATAGGATAGATATTTACTCTAGTAAATAGATTACCAAATCCTAGCAGTTCCTCAAATCTGGATTTGAAAGGCTGTCTACTCAATTGATTCTTATGTGTTGTAGAAACATAATCCTCAGTGCCTACTGCTGCCTGGAAGTTGGTACTAGGGCACAAGGCAGATGGGAAAGCTTGAGTGATCTGGATTTAATATGAAAAGCATATAGCTGAACCCAGAATTGAAATTACTCCTGGTTTTTCTTGTGGTCTCTGACTTTTTCCTTAATGTGTGTGTGATGGATTGTGTTCTGATACTGCTTCTTACCCCCCTGGTTTTCAGATGGTGGGCAGGAGAATGGCAGAAATGTTCAACTACGTGTGGCCCAACAGGCCAGAAGAAGCGAACTGTACTTTGCATCCAGACAGTGGGATCTGATGAGCAGGCGTTGGCTGCCACAGAGTGCCAGCACCTGCTGAAACCAAAGACACATCTGTCATGCAACAGAGATGTCTTGTGCCCGTCTGATTGGACAGTGAGCAACTGGACTGAGGTAGATTCATGTCAACTGAATATTAAACGCTTTTTTTCAAAATGACCTGTTATAGTCAGTAGAGAGGCCCAATGAACTGCTTTTTTCCTTTTTTTTTTTTTTTTTTGGTTAACATGTCTTCACAAGTCCTCTGTGCAGAGGAAAAATAGTTGTACTGCTTGCTAAAGATCTCAGCAAGTGTTACATGTTAGCTGTTTCTAAGGTTTTGGCTTGCTTAGTTTTTGGGACTGTAGAAAAGAGCATGCTTGCATGCTCAAACATCTGTGCAATACTCATTACTGCTGTGGACCAAATGGAGAGAGGCTCTTTGTCATGCCTATAGGCATACAGAGAAACATTTTTACATTCTTTACATTCCTATCTCTTGCATTCATAACTACCTGGTGTTTTTGCCACAGCATGCAAGCTTTTTACTTCTAGTATTAGTCTAAAGCCCTGACAAAGACTGGAATACCTGTGCATCCTTCAAGAGTTAATTTTAAGTTTTGTACAGTTATTTCACTGGCTGCTGATGAACTGCAGAATGTGAAGTCGTCAAAGTGATGACTGCAGTATACTAAATTTGTTTAAATTTACTGTAACATATTCTGCAATGTTTGTTAGTCTTAATAGGGAGCATTCATTCGATGTGCTTTGTCATAGGTTTTAATCTGTGGAAGGACCTCCTGCTTCTTCGCTTTCTTTAGGTTAGGATGCTGGTATCTGCAGGTGCTTCACAACTTCACTTTCCATTGAAGCCAAGGAGAGTTCAGGGTCTCCAGGATGTGGAGCAGTCTGTTTCTTCATGAAAACTAAAAATGCACTAAAATATTGCTTCTGGGGGGGCAAAGCAGGTTTTGAGTCATGTGAAATTTTAAAATTGTTTTATACCAATTCTGGTAGCAAGACTTGCTCATCGTTCACCTCACAAATGAGCAGTTTAGCTATCAGTGTAGCTGACAATCAGGACAACAAACACACAGCAAATATTTTCCATTTCACATGCCAATAAAAATGAAGTTTACTAAGTTTTTCAAAACTTTTAAGATCTTCCTTTTTGGAAACCCCTCTCCCTTCTTTCTCCTAGCTTTCTTTACCAGACTCACTATTGTGTTTGAGAGCAGATTCAGATAGAATCTAACTGAATTTTGTGACAGTATTAATTGAGTTTATGCTGCTCACAAACCATCATCACTGAATGTTGATTGTTCTGTGAATTGAGTAGCCACTATGTTTTAGGTGCCTGTGAAAAAATAGACTGGAAGTACATGGCTAGCAGTACAATTATATTGAAATGGCATGCAGTTACAGAATGCAGCCTGTTCTTGTGTGTCATTGGATTATATTTGCAAGTTACTGAATTCATCTGGCTGGTAGAAAATCATTCTGTGTCTTACAAACTGAATGTACTTCGTTAGGCAGATAATGAGCATAAAGTGTTGTAGCCATTCTGAAATATCTTTTTAGTACATGGCTGTAATCTAAAGCAGATATTTTCAAAGATAATTTTGGGAGACAGCCATTACGTTTAACTCACACTAACGCTAATCTCAACCATCCCCGTGGCAAAGACTGACAAAATGTGTTGTGTTTCTGTGTAAGCAGCAACATAGTGTTAGTAGTTGCTATCTTCCTCAATAAGCAAAATCCTTTACTGAGTAACTTCAGAGGTCAAATTGCAGCTGATGTAAACTTGCATAGCTCTGTGTACTTTAAATGTGCTGTACAGCTGAAAGTGCAAGGAGGACAGACGGAATAGCTAATGAACTTATCTGTTCTGAGGTTATCCTGCTTTCGTCCCTGCTCCTGTTGCTGCAGAGCTCATATTATTTTACAGGTATTAACAGAGAGTGCGCCAGTAGTACAAGGTCACTGGTCCTTCTACTGCCTCATGACCTGGACTAGCTCTAAAAAGGGTTAGATATCCCAGGGGCTTTAAAGTGCTGGCAATAGGAGTGTTCATCACTTCATGTTGAGCACCTGGTTTAAGCCAGCTGAATTAGCTGGTCAGGCTCCTTCACATCCTAGGAAGACTTCCTCCAGTAGGTTGTATGTAATGCCTCCATTCATACCCAACCAGTCATCCAGCCTTGGTACCTCAAACCAGAGAGCTGTGTTGAAATTTCAGAAAGTCCTCAGTGGAGCTACAGCTACTGAAGGCATGGCTGTGCCTGTAGGACCGAGGATGAAAAACATCACAGACAAACTGTGTCTCCTTAGCATCCAGCACCCTTTATACAAAACAGTGCTGCTATTTAAATAGAAGCCAGATAGGTTAATTACTTTCAGTAGCCTGTAATTTAGGAGAGACATGCTAGCAGCCCTGGTAGCATGTGGTGGTTGCACTAAGACTGAATGAAAAATCCATTTCATTAAGTCAACAAAGATCTATGAGCTGCATGGATGATCACAGTGTGTTTGTGGCACTGTGAGTAGCCAGCACTGAGCCAGTCAGATATGTTTTTAATGGCAGGTTTTTAGTCTGTTTTTTATAATCCTGGTGGAAAACATGTTGTCTAAACAACTTTTGTGATTCACTGAAGAAATCAAATTCTAGCATGTTACTTCCATATTTTGTCTTTATCATGTAGTCTTTTTTCACTGCTGTTTCCCCAAGCTGACATTTACTATTCTAAAAATCTGGAAAGACCTCCATGATAGCAGAACATGACTTGAATGAAGGGCTAGTTCCTCAGGAAAGTCTTTGTTATTGATTATTTATAATCATGCTTCTTTATTACAAACAGATGCCATTTTATACTTGTTGATGTGTGCAGCAGAATGAAGAGCATATTAATTCTGTTTCATTTGCAGTGCACGGTTACTTGTGGTGGTGGCATAAGGACTCGTAATGTCACTTGTGCCAAAAATAATGATGAGCCATGTGATACTTCCAAGAGACCAAACTCTAAGGCCCTGTGCGGTCTCCAGCAATGTCCTTCTGCTGGAAGATTTCTGATACCCCCTCTGGCACCCAGAAGAGGAAAGATCATAATCAGAAAAACAACTACTAATCCTGAACGGAGTCCTCCTCACTTAATACCCACACCAAGCCCAAGGTCCCCTGCAACAACAAAAATATCCAAGCCTGAAAGTGTAACTCCCTGTTTGCCTACATCCTCTGGTTTGGGTAATGTCTCAGAAAAAGAAGGAACAGCCAATAAAACATTACCAAATAATTTTGCCGAACCAAGTGGTGTTTACAATTATCCAGTTGTTTCTGCTGAACATAGTTCACACCAAAGTACTTCATGGCCTTTTCATAATAGCTTAAGTACTGAAATTATAAGGCATGCTGAAAATAGTTCTGAAAGTGAGCTAGCTTCTACTGTAGAGAGTGAGGTGCAAAGAAGTGAGAACAGTCCTGTCTCCTCTTTTACCAGTAGTCCAGAAGTAACTTCCAGCTATGATTACTTAACCGAAGAATCTGATGATATTGATGGGTCAGTTGGAGGCAGTGAGAAACCGATTGATCTCCTTTACAGCACAGAACTCAATCCTCAAATCAGAACCAGGAGCACAACCCTAGATACCAGCTCTTCTGCCCTTCAAAATGAGAGCGTGACTTCTCAGCCCCCCCCAGCATCTCATCACCTAGGCCCTTCTGCACTCCTTACTGTTAGCAGAACAGCCCAAGGGCTGGCATTTCCAACAGCAGCCAACTATATCAGTCTGCAAGTTCATGTGCCTGTTGTAGAGGTAACTACCCCACAAGCATCAGTTACAGTAATGCCCACAGTGTTTGGTCATGTACCCGGAGACCAGACTGAGAACAGAAGAGAAACGAAGCTACCTGACACCGTAACCTTCAGCACACGGTCATCAGTTCTCGAGGATGTTCTCAGGAACCAAAGTGCAACATCTGAGGGGGTTTTAATGAATGTCACAGAAAACAGCCTCCTAGTAACATCCCACAGTTTGCCTGGTGATGCCTACTGGGTAGTAGGCAACTGGAGTGAGGTAAGTTATTTTTAACTCTTAAGAAGTGGAGAGGGTATTTTTTTACCGCTGCTGAGGAAATAAAACTTCCTAGTTTGTCATGATTATCTGAAATGAGTATCATACATTCAAATGAAATACTTGTCACACAAAAATAACAATAACTTAGAATATCTAATATTAGATTGCTTACATAGAATTTGTCTGTATTTATGGATTCTGCAAAACTATGCGTAACTGGACACTGAAATTTTAAGGGACCAGCTGTATCAACTAAATGTTCATGAGTCCATGGGCCCTGATGGGATTCATCCCAGAGTACTGAAGGAGGTAGTGGATGTTATGGCAGGACCTCTCTCAATCACCTACCAAAGGTCTCTGGAGTCTGGGGACGTCCCCACTGACTGGAAGCTAGCCAGTGTTATTCCAATTTGCAAAAAGGGTGTGAGGGAACACCCAGGGAACTACAGAACTGTTAGTCTAACCTCAGTTCCTGAATAAAATTATGGAGAAGATCATACTGGGTGCTATGAAAGCCCATCAGTCTTTAAAGGTGTTTGGACAGTGCCCTTAATAACATGCTTTAACCTTCAGTCAGTCCTGAAATGGTCACACAGTTGGACTAGATGGACATTGTAGGTCCCTTCCAATTGAAATATTCTGCTCTATTCTATTCTATAACTCTTCCAGGGACATGACAGTCAGGTTTGACTATAACCAGAAATACCTCAAGAGTTTTGTTTTAGAGCACAACAAAAAACTAAGCTATTAGATCAATCCTAGAGACACCAAATGAATATGCTTGTATTTCCAAATAAGTGCATAATGCAAGTTAGCTGTAGATGTGCTAGTGTTCTAACCTTCACTTACATATAATTTCTCACTAAATTATGTGTATTTCCTGACTTAGTACATGACCAGAGTCATGTGGGTAAGCTAGCTTTATTACTGTATAAGGCACATTAATATCATGGATACTTAAACATATTTTTAGTTGGCTATTAACAGATTTTTGTGGTGCATTTCTATCTCATCCCACCATCAGAGTTTGTATCCACCATTAAGCAAATGCCTTCCAACTCAAAGCAGCATTTAACCTGGTAAAACCAGTTTGAATGTGCAAAGCAAGATAAGAATATTAGTCCAAAGTTAAACTGGTATATCTGGGGTTTGTAATTTGTCCAGCACATACCTATGGGGAAACATTGTAATATGGAGTCTGCACCTTTCCTTGAAGTTTAGGCGATTGGGTATTGGAACTGGGTTGTGACAGTGGTAAAGTAAAAGCATTTTGTCTGGTTGGAATAGAAATTAAAATAGTCAGGCCAGTGGTTGTGGTTGTACAGTATTCTTTGGATACCACAGATGATAATTACAGTGGTATACTATGTCTTGTTTGGGTGTAGAAATGAACAGTTATTTTAGTGTCTGTGCCAAAATGAGCTTTTTGATTTCTAAAGGTAATGAAATTCAATCAGAACAGGTGTTAACATCCTGTAATACTAACTGTCTAAAGTGCTGTCTTTCTGTTTGAGTAAATGAAAGAAGTACAGGTTACAGGGAGCCTGAAACTCTTTTGAGGTGTAAAGCATTTGGAAGATTCTTCATTGGAAAGGTGGTGACTTGTCCCAGTTTACCCTGATCCTTGTCATTACTGAATGGTTATGATACTTGTGTAACTTCTACTTCCTGTGCAGGAGCAATATAGATTGCAAAGTTTTCTATGGCCTCAGAGATTTTTTTGTATATTGCTATTGACTTTCCTTCACCAGTACCCAGCAGCAGGCTTTTTGACACTTGGGTTTCTGTGCTGTTGCCTTGCTGTGTCCTTAGACAGTAGTTACTGTGGGGTGAGGGCTAGTGCGAGGGCAGACACCCAATTCTAGCAACTATAATAAGAGCATATAGTCACCAGGGAGCCTGCTCACATTTTACAAACTTCTATTTAATATCCTTCATACTGTAAAATTGTATTTTTATGAAAACAGAGTTGTTTTTATGCTAAGGGATTTTATGTTCTTCAAATCATGATACACAAAGTGAGAGACTTTGGTATGTGAACAAGTGACCTCATTTTTCTGATGGCCCTTTTTTTAACTAAGCTAATCAGTACAGCCCAGGGTCCAGATCTGGAAACCTCCTTGTGCTAATCTGCCTCTGTGTCTCTGTATTGATGGAGAAGGCTATCTAAGGTCTGTTTCACTCTACCTGTTTGCTCCTGGGTCTGCCTGGAGTGACACAAATTAATGGAAATGCAGAAATGCAGGGCTAAGAAGGACAGCAAGAGATGACGTATCCCATGGCAGTGGAGTTAAAAGTGCAGCTAGACCACCAAGATCCTGTTGGTGCTCTCTGTCTGGATACAGCTGGTGGGTAGGGTCCCTGCTCTGTTACTAGCACATCAGCGGTTGCTCAGGACATGCACTCCTGATGTCAGTCTGAAGTTTAATCTTGTGCCTTCCCATGGCGAGGTGAGAATTACTTTAGCTTTCCATGTTCAAGTGGGACAAGGGAAACATTTCCTTCTGCATGTGCCCAAAGACATCCATTTAAACATGCTTGAGTAAAAAAGCCTACAAGATGAAGTCCAGGTAAAGGCTCTGCTCCCAAGCCCGGCACTTCCCAAACAGAAGTCTATAATACAGAGATTCTACAGTCTGTCCTAGTCATTCATTAACACCACTAGAAATATTTTCTTCATACATAACCAACATCTTCTGTAACAAAAATGAAGATTCTATTTTTTATATGCAGACCATGGAAGGTAATTGTCTTCTCAATAATGGTTTTGGGGTCTGACCTCTAAACAAAAGATTCTGGTTCTTTTCATATTTTCCTTGTGTTTTCTAAATATCTGGTGACTTTGTTGTTCTCCTTTGGAACTGCTTCAGTTTAATCATATATTTCTTCATGAGTGATGTTCCTTGTGGCCCCAGCTGGCACCTGGCAAATAAAATTGAATCATTGCTATCACTTTATATATGACCCTCTTTCTGAATGTTGGGGTGAGATTTGTCTTGTTTTGTAACCATACCAGTTTGATTTATTCAGTTTGTAGTCCACTGTAAACTCTGGATCCCTTAACACAGTGTTTCTGGATCAGCAGATGTTCTCAGTTTTGTTTCGGGGGTATGTGTATGTGTGTATATGTGTGTGTGTATATGTATGTGTGTATAAAAAGTTTTCCCAAAATCTAGTATTTTGTGTATGTTTTTGAATTTCAGATTACTGTTTTCTTGCAATTTTTCAACTTGGCAAGATGTTTTTGAATTCAGATTGCGTCCTCCAACATTCCTGCCAACTCTTCCAACTTGTCATCATCTGCAAATGTTATAAGTGCATGCTCTCTTTCATCATTTGATTAGTTAATGAAAATACTGAAGAGAGCTTGGCTCTGGAGAGAGCCCTGCACATTTCAAATGTCTTTTCATTTTGACACCGAATCACTGAGGAACACTTTATTACAGTTTTTCAGTTAGCTATGCACCAATCTTGAAATTATTTCACCTATTAAAAAAAATATTTCCATCATTTCCTAAAAGAATGCTCTATGAGATCATGTCAAAATGCATCACTTCAGCTGGCTCTCTATTTTCGTTAAGCCATGTACCCCTGTCAGAGAATTACATTAGATTTAATTGAATAATTTGTTGTAGATAGGTCCATGTGGGCTGTTTTTTTGTTTTGTCATCTGTGTTAGTATTTAGCATTTTTATCTTGATTGTTTAATATTAAATTTGCTTTTGTATTTTCTTGTGAAGTAAGGTTAGGTGAAGTGTTCTACTAGGCTACAGGTCCACATTTGTCGTTTCCTAAAGATAACTTGAAAGATGTTATTCTCTAATCCTCTGGGACTTTGCCAATCCTCTTGGACTTTCACAATCTATTTTAAAAAAACAACTTAAGAGTTCAGAGATCAGTCAAGGACACTTGAATGAATATTGAGGTAAGGCCAGTACATTTGGTTTCACAGAACTGA